CTGGAGTGGGAACTGCTTGTGCTATCTCCATTCCCGTCCATCCCCATCCAGCTCCGTCATTGTTTACCTCCTCAGGGCTGACCACAAGCCTTGCAGAGCCTCCCCTGGAAAAAAACAGCTCAGAACAGTTATTTTTATGGAAATAGTGAAGCAGTGAGTGGATTTAGAGCTGTGTTGGAGGTAACCCTTCCGCTGCTGTGGCTTCCCACCAGCCAAGGAGACGAGGTGCCCACACAGCACCTCCCACCCACCCATCCCAAACCACATCCTCAGGAGCAGGCTGTGCCTGCCTGCTCCAGCCCCAGGCTCCACACACCTCCTCCTCACCTGGAGAGAGGTGAGGCTGGGTGTCACCAAGAGCCAGCTGGCCTTGAGCAGCACCAAGCTCTGGTGCTGGTTCTCTTTAGCCCATGGCAAACGCACTACTCCAGAATTCCCACCCTGCTCCGTGTTTTTATGAGTACGAGCTCCTCATTCCCTACATGTTCCTATGAGCTGTTGTTAACCCTACAAACGTAACCTGTGTAATAGCGTCTCTGTATATTACAGCTGTAGGCTTTCCAGATAAAAGTGGATAATATTTATTTACTGAAGATACTGGATATTTTTTTGTTTGGGAATGGGGTAGGGGGAGAAAGGGAACATAACTGTTTACTGTTTAAAGAGATTGACTATGTAAAGAGAAACAAAATACACAAGAAGCAGAGAAACCCAACACTAAAACATCACTGTATTCAAGTAGAAAGTGTTTCCGTTAAGGACGAGACAACTGTATTAATCTGCCATTGTTTAACTTGCTCCAGAAATCATCTCCTTGGTTCCTGCATGTGAGATATTCCAATAAATACACTATTAGTGTGAGCTGGGGGTGCTATCGTCTGTCTCTCAGCTGGGGACTCGCTTGGCTCCACTGCCTGGCCTGAGCACAGGGGACATGTGCAGCCCTTGGGTACCCACCAGATGCCAAAACTGGGAGTCCTCGTTCTCCTCCAGGGGTCAGAACCTGGCTATTCCTACTGGGAGAAGGCTTGTCCCCAGCAGTTGCTCTTTGTGTCTTTGTGTGGCTCATGCTGCCCTCGCTGCTGTGCTGCCAGTGCTGCTGAATTCGTGTCCCACTAAATTCTGGCACATCTTCTGAGGGGGGCATCAGGCAGATGCACGGGTGACAACCTCGGTGCTTGGTGGGATGCCTGCCCACTTGGCAGGGCTTAACTGATAGTCCTTAGTGGGCAACTGTGGGTCACCACCCTTGTGACCTGGAAAGAGATGGGTGATGTTCCCAGCCCATCCAAGGGACACTTTCCTGACTCATCTGCCAGGAATTTGTTCCAACATCCCCATTATGATGGTGGGTTTGATAGGCAGAGAAGGAAGAGCACCAGATTAAGAACCCCAGAGAAATGGCATTGGCCAAAACTGAACCAGGTTGGTTGAATGGTGCCCTCTGTTCTGCACGTGGAGATCCACCCCGATTGTTTAAATCTGGGTAAGGGGGTGTGGAATAGCTGGAATAAGTTCAGGGTTTCCCCTCCCTGTAGCTACATATTAGCATTAAACAGCCCTGCCCCAGCTTTTTTACCCCTGATGATCATGTGCCTGCCTCAATGTCGGATACATTCAGGGGGGCTCCTGGCCTGGATCTGCTGGGAAAGGTGTGGAACTGCTGCTGCCCGGACAGGGCAGAATCACACAAAAAGCGCCGGGTCAGAAATGTCCAGCGCTGTGCAGGAGGGGCTGTGGGGATGGGGGATGTGGGAGCAGGGGGCTGCTCCTTCCAGGGGCTTCACCACATTGTCCTCTGCCGCCCCACAGTTACACTGGGAAAGGAAAAAATCCCCTCTAACCCCAAGTTCTGCCTGCAACAGGGGCCAGAGGGGATGCAAAGGGAAGAGCAGCACAAGCACATCGGGACTTGCCTTTCCCACGCGTGCCTCTCCAACTCCCCAAACTGAGCATGGCTTCCCCAGTTTGTGAACCCTGATGGAGTTCTCTTTTCCCAGCCTGCTCCCACAGCGACCGTGCAAACTCCCACCATGGGCTGGGGGCTTCCACACCTCGCTGCCCTCCACCCTGGGCTGCCAAGCCCGGGCACAAAGCACAGCACCGAGCCCCATACGGGCAGAGCCCTGTGCAAACGGAGTGTCGCTGCTTTCTGGCACTGGGCAGCAGGTTTGGATGCCACTGCAAATAGGAAATGACCACAGGTCATTTACCTTTCCCCATTTCACCCGAGGGTAAATATACCCGGAGTGGGGGCTGCACTGGAGTGCCACCAAACCTGGCTGTGCCTCCCCGAGCTGTGGCTCGGGAAGGGACAGTTGGCAAAGCCGAGTTACACGCAGCGAAGGAGAGAAGCGTTTGAATCTGTTTGCGACACAAATTAATGATTAACGCCGCTCCCTGCCAGAGCAAAACAAGCCCCGGGGCAGGCAGGATGCCAGAGGCTGGGCACGGAGCATGGCACGCTGCTGGCAGGTGGGAAACAGCCGGGGGCTCGCTCGGGGAGAGCCCAGCTGCCTGGGCGAGGGGGCAGCAGCACGGGGGATGCTCCGTCCTGGGGCTGCCGCGTTCGGGCTCTGCACGCCCGGCGCTGCTGCTGCCGCTCGGGGAGACGCTCCACAGCCCCTCGGAGCCGCACCAGCCTGCCCGGCCGGCTCGGTAGCCCGGTGGCCAGAGGCCAGCCATCCCGGGGCCGGTTTGTTTTCTTTCTCATCCTGCGGTTTCCTCCCAGCCTGCGCTCAGGAAAACGTCTCAGCGACTCCGGAGCCACCACGTGGCCCGGCCGCCATCCCCGCAGGACTGACATGATGTAATCGCGGGCCCCGGGCCGTGATGTAGAATCACTCCACTCACGGCCGCCGCGCTTATTGGCTGCGTGGCCCTGGTCCTACGGGCGGGGTTTTCCCTGCTCCGCAACCCGGCGCACCCCCGGGAGCCCCACCCCGCGTGGAATCCATCCCCGGAGCCGGCCCACGGAGCTGCCGCGCTGCTCCGCCCTTCCCCGCTGCTGCGGGATGCTGCTGTTGGCTGGGGGAAACCAGGGGCAGGGACAGCTCCACGTGTGGGCTCCCGGCGCCCTCGGACCCTCTGGATCGGGGACGGGGCCTGGCAAAATGCAGCTTTGCACACAACTTGTGCAAAAGTTAAGCTGTGTTTACGTGTGTTGTTTCCCCCTTCTATGTTTATGTGTGACTTTGCCCTTCTGCGTTTGTGTGGGTTTGTCCCTCTGTATCCCTCAGGGAAGGCTGTGCCCCGGATCTTGCATGGGTTATTAAAGGTCTGTGACCCCCACGCTTGCACAAGGCTGCTCTGAATCCATGGGGACCACAGCACATCCATCTCCCCAGCCCTGGAAACCTGCCCTCTCCTCCCACAGCGCAGGGACTGCAGCAAGGAAAGGGAAACTCCATCACCAGAGAGCCTGGCTTCCCTGCGGTGACCCCAATAAAAATGGGGGGAAGCACAAGGCTCCCTGCGTGCCCCATGGCAGGTCACGGCTCCCAGTGATGTGATCGCTGCTGCCCCTGTGATGTTTGCTCTGGGTCAGGGATGTCCGAGCGGCTGATGCTGCCCCAGTTCCTGGCACGGAGCTGAGCCAGGATTCCCTGGGCTTGTCCCCAGCTCGGGCACAGGTCAGTGTCCCCAGATTGAGGAGTCTGGAGTGGGGTGAGGGTGCAGAGGAGGCAAACGGGGCTGTGCAGCTCCAGCTCTGCTGCCCAGCTCTGTGTGGTGCCCTGGGGTGGTCCCTGTATTGCAGAGGGGTGCCTGCTGTGCCACCATGTGGGAGCCAGTGAAGCCAAAGGGAAATTTCTAAGCTGCACCCAGGTTTAATAAATTTCCAGGTAGCCTCAGATTGTGTTTGGTGGTGCAGAAGAGGAGAGGGAAACTTCCAGAGAGCTGATGTTGCAGCACATTTTCTAGTCCCAAGTGAATCCCAGCAGCAGGACAGACCATGGAGCTCTGCAGGGCACAGGGCATGGCATTTTCCTGGCACAAGGCTCCCACACTGAGACCTACCACGCTTGGGCAGCAGCCACAACACTAATCCCAATGGCACCAGCATTTTTCCTGGATCCCACAACTGATGGCCCCCAGGAGGGTGCATGGGCTCAGCTGAGGCTCACAGGGCAGCACTGGTGTGTCCCTAACCAGGGGGGTGAGAGCTTCTCCCACCCTGGGCCATGCCATGGGCGGGCAGCACAGGTGGAAAGTGCTCTGAGCCCTGGAGCTGGGACAGGGAAGGCCCAGGGCCCTTGAGAGGGTTGGTTCAGTGGCCCAGCCTCACCCTGGCACGTGGAATCCGCCGTGCAGACGTTTCTGCAGCCACGGCCACCACCTGCCCACACGGGCTCCCCGACCTGCTCCCTGGGACTGAGGGGGCTCAGTGCCCAGCCCAGGGGTTTAGAGCCCAGCCCAGGGGTTTGGTGCCTGTCCTTAGGGTTTGGTGCCTGTCCCCAGGAGTGTGTACTTGTCCCCAGGTGTGAATGACGTCCCCAGGGCTCAGTGGCAGCCCCAGGGATCGATGATTTCCCCGAGCTCAGTGTCCGTTCCTAGGGCTCGGTGCCCATTCCCCTGGGGTCAGTGACATCCCCAGAGGACGGTGTCCTGCTCGGGGCTCGCAGCCTGCGCTTCCCCCGGCCCAGCTCGTGGCAGACCCGCACCCAGCCCGGTGCCGCGGGGTCCCCGCCCGGTGTCCCCGGGGGTCCCCGCCCGGTGTCCCCGGGGGTCCCCGCCCGGTGTCCCCGGGGGTCCTCGCTCGGTGCCGCCGGGGGTCCCCGCCCGGTGTCCCCGGGGGTCCCCGCTCGGTGCCGCGGGGTCCCCGCCCGGTGTCCCCGGGGGTCCCCGCTCGGTGCCGCCGGGGGTCCCCGCCCGGTGTCCCGGGGGTCCCCGCTCGGTGCCGCCGGGGGTCCCGGTGCGGCGGGCGGCGCGGAGAGGCGGCGCGGGGCGGGACGCGGCGGCGGCCCCGCCTCCACCCACCCCCCGCCCTCCCGCCCGGTGGCAGCTCCGGGCACGGTTCGCGGGAGCAACTTGGCGGCTCGTCCCCGTGGTGCCTGAGCCCGGGCCAGCGCGGCCATGGCGGGCGGGCGGCCCCGCCACCCCTAGAGCCGCCCGAGCCACCGGAGCCACCGGGATGAGCGCTCTCGCCTTCGACGACACGGCCCTGGAGGGGCTGGCACCGTCCCTCGGCCTCTCCGGGGCCAACGACATCGACACGGCCTTGCTCAGCGACATCGACGGTGCGGACCGGCGGGGACGGGGCCCGGCGTGGCCGGGGCTTGGGGCAGGACCGGGACCGGGCTGGGGCTGTAACCGGGCTCGCTGCACGGCGGGCTCCGGGCCCGGTGCAGTCCTGGGGCTCGGTGCATGACCGGGACCGGGCAGTGGCACGGCCGGGACCGGGCTGGGGGAATGCCGGGCTCGGTGCACGGCCGGGGCCGGGCACGGTGCGGTACCGGCTCCTGGAGCATGGCCGGGACATGGCTGGGGGTACGACCGGGGCTTGGGGCACAACCGGGACCGGGCTGGGGGTGTAACCAGGCTCGGTGCAAGGTCAGGACCGGGCTGGAGGCATGACCGGGGCTCGGTGCGTGGCCGGTACCGGGCTGGGGGTATAACCGCGGCTCGGTGAATGGGCGGGCGCGCTCGGTGCAGGGCCGTGCCCGGGGGGTCCAGGCTCGGTGCACGGTCCGGGAACTTGGTACCGGCATTTGGCCGGTCCAGCGGGATCGGTGTATAACCCGGACTCGGTGCATGGCCTGCGGACCGGGCTCGGTGCCGGGCCCGGCGTGGGGAGGGGTGACACCGAGCTGCTGGAGCGCGGAGTCGGTGCAGAACCGCTCTGGCTCCGTTACCGGGGGCTGGTCCATGGCGGGGGGCTCGGGATGGGGGAACAGGGGACACCGGGACCCCCGTGCTGGAGGTGCCGCTCCCGGGACAGCCCCGACGATCCCCCCCCGTTCCCGGTCACAGCATCGTGTCGCGGGTGGCCCCGCCTCGCCCGTGACGCCACCGGCGGGGTTACTCTCGGTCGTTCCCTCCAGGACGCCTGGGCTCTCCCAACCCATCCCACCGGCGTGTGGTGAGATGGGGCGGCTCTGCCCCAGCCCCGGGGCTGGCACCGCCAACACCCACCGCCCCGCCGCTTTGAGACGGGCATGATCCGAGGGAACCCGCTCCCGCAGGGAACCCACGTCCCAAAGGGACACGTTCCTCAAGGGGACCCACTTCCCACCGTCACAGCACCACGTGTGCCGAGTTCAGTGTTTCCAAGGCTTTAGCAAAAAATTTGGGATCCCAAAAAATTGAAGATCTCAAAAAATTTGGGATCCCAGCTCTCGGCAAGCCCCGCTCCCGCCTCGCCACGTGCCCCACCAGCTCTGTCGGTGGCATCCAGCACAGCCGGCGGGACGCGCGGAAAGGTGGCACGGGACTTCCAACACCTGCCCCACTGGCTGGTCCGTGGTGGTCTCTCCTCCGAGATCTGGGGTGGAGATGGCATCCCAGGTCTGCTGGTTCATCCCAGTGGCTGTTGGGGTGGATCAAAGCAGATCCAGGTGCCACCTGCTTTTCTTGGCGACGTTTTGGCGTGGGCAGGGAAGCAGGAGCGGTGCCAGGGCTGAGTGGTGCCGTATGGGATGAGGTTTTCCCACTGTGGGGTTTTGCCATGCTCCTTTGTATCACAGCCAGCCGGGCCACCTCGTACCCCACAGTTCCCCAAAGTGGGTTTGCCACCGGTCTCTTTTTGGCCACGGCTTGTCCCTCATCCCTGGACCAACCCTAGGGTGATGTGGGATGTGTGCCCACGGATGTGGGCGCCCTGAGCCTGCTAGAACCTGCCAGGACCCACAGACGAGTGGGTCTGCCCCACAGGTTCCCACGGTGGGGGTGGAGGTGGCACTGGTGGGTGCCCCTCGTCCTGCTGATGGCGTGGGTGGCAGCGGGTGCCACAGGATAGAAACACAGGATAGAAACATCTGGAAGATGCCAGGAGGGTGGGACAGCCGTGCCCACCCCAGGCTGGGCAGGAGGAAATGGGAGGGGGGACAGGAGGGAGCACCCCCTCTCTGCAACCCTAGACGAGGGAGCCTTGAGGGGAGGAGGGGTCTCTTGAGTGGAAGGAGGGGGCTGGGAGCCCCCCGGAAGGACACCCACCTGCGCAGGGCAGCAAGCCGGGGGCTGGCCGGGTGTTTTTGGGGTGTAGCGGTGCTGTGTGCGGACCTGGGGTGACTCCCGGGCGGTGAGCGCGGGGGTCGCACCGGGCTGGGGGGGCGCGGGCAGGGGGGTTCGCGGAGCGTGACCCCGAGTAACCGCGGGCGGCTCGGGGCCGGTGCCCGCCGGTAACCCGGTGCCGGGCTCACCTTGGGCGCCGGGGGCTGTCCGGGGCCGGCCGGCCGCGATTGGCGGAGTCGCATCACCCCATCGCCGGCCGCGCTCCAGCCCTGGCGCGGGCAGCGCGGGGAGGGCGCCGGGGAGGAGGCGAGAACATGGCTTTAAAATATCCCGGCGCCTCTTCGCTGCCGGGCACGGGGCTCAGCGGGGGCTGCAACCTCCTCCTGGAGAGCCCTCCACTTCCACCTCCATGGAGTGCACTTTTGAAGGTACCCCCGCCTCGGCAGCCGCCTCCACCTCCTCCTCCTCCTCCTCCTCCTCCTCCTCCTCCTCCTCGTCCACCGCCGTGGTGCCTCTCGGAGTCTGCACCCCACGGGGAGGGCGGTGTCCGGGGGCTGTGTGGCTCGGCGGGGACATCCCGGGGGTGTGTGCGTGGGGGGATGCCCTGGGGGTATCCCGGGGTTTGTGCGTGCAGGGGGGGTGAGCCTGGGGGTACCGGAGTGTGGGGTACCCTGGGGTCTGTGTGCCCCCGGTGGGATGCGCCTGGGACATCCCTGCATGGTGGGAGCATCCCAGGACGCCTCGGTGGAGGACACAGAGACCCCGATGTGTCTGGGGGGCAGCCCAGGTGCCACTGAGTGGGACAAACCCCGCTCAGGCTGTTTTAGCCCTGTGCTTGCTCCTGAGGGCTGTTGTGATCAAACACACCTGGCACTGGGGTCTGGCACATCCCGGGGTGCCACCCCGCTGTCCCAGTCTGAGCACCCCCTCCCCTTTATAGAGGGGCTGATTTGGGGATTCTCGGGGTTCCCAGGACAGAATAAATGAATGATCTGGCACAAGCCCCCCTCAATATCAAAGACATGCTGAGATGTGCCCTGCCACTCTCAGAGCAGGCTGGAAAACGCTGACTGCTGTTGGTCAAGCCCTGAAAGCCCCGTTTTGAAGGCAGTGCCTCAGTTTCCCCAATGTCAGCATGGATAGGAGGCTGAGAGGAACAGGGTACAGCAGATTCATGCACTCCCAGGGAATTTTGCCTCTGGATTATGGGGATCTGCCCCCTAAATTCTACACTGTGGGGAGGGCAGGACTGGACCAGCCCAGGCCCACCTTGGGAGGTGGGAGCTGCAGCTGATGGCACGGGGGTGTGTTTTACAGACATGCTGCAGCTGATCAACACGCCGGACAATGACTTCTCGGGCTTGTTCGACTCACCGTTCAACGCCCCGGACAGCGCCGTGCCCCCGGGGCTTCCCTCCACGCCGGGCACCCTCAACACCTTCCTGGGTCCCAGCAAGCCGCCCCCCGCCGCCCCCACCGGCAGCGCCTTCGCGGGGCCCCCCGGGATGGCCACCTTCACCCCGCCGCCCCCGGCCCCGCTCCTGCCAGCACCGTCCCTGGGTGTCAAGGAGGAGCAATCCGTGGTGCCCATCAGCCAGCCCCAGCCTGGCGTCATGCTGGCCCCCAGCTTTGTCCCTGCGTCCCCCAGCCCGTTCGCTCCCCAGCCCTTGGTGGGCTACCAGAACCAGCACAGCTTCTCTGGTGAGGATTTGGGGGTGCAGAGTGGGATCGGGGCTCCCAGGGTGAAGGTCTTGCTGGAGGGGGGATGTGTCCCTGCAGGATGGTGCTGTGTGGGGTGGGCTGGTGCCAGGGGCTCTCTTAATGCTGTCCTCTGCTCCATGCCCAGCTGTGCAGCCTGGGAGTGCGGGGCAGAGCCTGCCAAGCCCTCTGCCCACCCCACCACCCAGCCAGCCCGTGACACTGCCTGGCCCCGTGCAGAATGTGGCACCCCAGCAGCTCCTGGCGCCCGCCGCCCCCACCACCCAGTCTGTGTCGCCGCAGATCCAGTCAGTGCCGGTAAGCCCAGGGCCAGGGGCGGGGGTCCCGCTGACCCCCACGGCCCCGCTGACCCCCGCTGCCCCTCAGGTTCTCCTGCAGCCCCATTTCATCAAGGCTGACTCCCTGCTGCTGACGGCCGTCAAGACGGACGCCAGCAGCGCCAAGACTTCCACCATCGCCTCCCTGGCCACCAGTGCCAGCGGCTCTGCCACCCCGCTCCAGGTGCCGGTAGGTGCCACCGCTGGGAGCTGCGAGGTGGGGAGGTGCTTCAGGACCCTCACTGACCCCACCCTGCACCCCCCAGGCGCTGGTGAGCGGAGGGACCATCCTGGCCACGGTGCCGCTGGTGGTGGACGCGGAGAAGCTGCCCATCAACCGGCTGGCGCCCAGCGGGAAGCCGGCGCTGGTGCAGAGCCGGGGCGAGAAGCGCACGGCCCACAACGCCATCGAGAAGCGCTACCGCTCCTCCATCAACGACAAGATCGTGGAGCTCAAGGACCTGGTGGTGGGCACCGAGGCCAAGGTGGGAGCAGGGGTTGGTGGGGTAAGGTCTGGCAATGGTGGGGGGGCTTTGTCTGTAATTTGGGCTGAACTGTCCCTGTCCACTGGCAGCTCAACAAGTCTGCGATCCTGAGGAAGGCCATCGAGTACATCCGCTTCCTGCAGCAGAGCAACCAGAAGCTGAAGCAGGAGAACCTCGCCCTGAAGATGGCCATGCAGAAGAACCGTGAGTGGAAGGGCAGTTCATGGGGTGGGGGGCTTGGCTCCATGCCCCCAAGCAGCCATCAGCTTACTCTGCTTCCTGCAGAGCCTGTGAAGGAGCTGGGCACCCACTGCAGCCGGAGCACCAAGGCAGAGGCCCCCATGGAGGTGGTGAAGGCGGAGGTGATGGAGATGCTGACACCGCCGCCCTCAGACGTGGGCTCGCCGTCCCACAGCAGCCCGCTCTCGCTCAGCGGTGGCAGCAGCAACAGCAGCAGTGACTCGGAGCCCGACAGCCCCCTCTGTGCCCATGGCAAGGTGAGGGTGGGCTGGGGGGATCTCCTTGCCCTGAGTGGGGCCGGGGTTCTGCTGCTTCATGTAGGAGGTGCCAAGGCAAAGTGTACCAGATGGGGACAGAGCTGAGAGCCCTGGTCTTGTTCTCACAATATTTGGGGGTGGGCATGGAGGCAGTTTTGTTCTACTCTAAAATGTGCCCTGTGCCCCATGCCTGTACCCTAAAATCCGTGCTCCTGTACTCCAACCTGTGTCTCATCACCATGCCCTGTACCCATGCCCTACATCCCATTGCCTGTATCCCATGCCCGTCCCCCATCACCACATCCTATATTCCATGCCATGTACCCCATGCTCTGGATGCCATGCCCTATATCCCATGCCCTATATCCCATGCCCTATATCCCATGCCCTATATCCCATGCCTGTGCCCACCACCCCATGTCCATGCCCGTGTCCCAGACTCACAGCAGCTCTGCCTGTGCAGGTGAAGCAGGAGAACCCGCCGCCCTCGCCCAGCAGCCAGGGAATGCTGGACCGCTCCCGCATGGCCCTCTGCACCTTTGTCTTCCTCTGCCTCTCCTTCAACCCCCTGGCCTCCCTCCTCCGGGGTTCTGGCTCCCCAGCCCCCTTGGGGAGCCAGGACACCGCTGGTCCCAGCAGGAGCATCATGGCTGAGTCTGGCACTTTGGGTAAGTTCTGGTGTGGGGTGGGAGATACAGGAATGGAGATTTGGAGATTGTTGGGATGGGTGTGGGATGGAGGCTGTCAGGTGGGCAGGGCTAGAGGCTGTTGGCGTGAAGAACATCAAGGGGTAGGATGTTGGGGTGGGTGTATGGTACGAGCTACCTGGCTCGAGGCTGTTGGGGTCAGCATGAGGTGAAGACTGTTGGGATGGAGGGCATCAGAGTGGTGGTGATCATGGTAGACATGGGGTGAAGGCCATCAGGAGGGAGGGCTGGGATAAGTCTGAGATGGGAGATGATTGGGGTAGCCATGGGGCAGAGGCCATCGGGTGGATGCCGCTGGGGTGGGCACAGGGTGAAGGCCACCAGAATGGATATCCTGCTGTGTGTGTGAGGCAGAGACCATTGGGGTGGAATCTGTTGGGTGGACACGATTGGGTGGAGGCTCTTCAGTGGACATGGGATGAAGGCCACTGGACGGAGACCCTGGGGCGGGCACAGGGCAGCATTGGTGGGGTGTTGCTGACCCCCATCCCTGCACAGAGGACCCGTGGGGGTGGACGCAGTGGCTGTGGCCCACACTGGCCTTCTGGGCACTGAACGTGGCGCTGGTGCTGGGTGCGGTGGTGCGGCTCTTCGTCTGCGGGGAGCCCGTCACTCGCCCCCACTCCGAGCCCTCCATCCTCTTCTGGCGGCACCGCCGGCAGGCCGACCTCGACCTCGACCGGGTACGTCCCGCCGTGTGCTGCGTGCCCTGCCCCACCTGCCCCGTGCCCTCGTCCTGCCCACACCCACCCGTGTCTCCGTGCCGCAGGGAGACTTCGCGCAGGGGGCCCAGCACCTGCGGACGGCGCTCGGGGCGCTGGGGCGGCCGCTGCCGGCGTCGCACGGGGACCTGGCCTGCAGCCTGCTCTGGACGCTGCTGCGCCACCTGCTCCAGCGCCTCTGGGTGGGCCGCTGGCTGGCTGCTCGCGCCGGGGGGCTGCGCCCGGACCCCCCGCCCCCTGCCCACGTCCGCCAGAGCGCCCGCGACGCTGCCATGGCTTATCACCGCCTGCACCAGCTCCACCTCGCCGGTACGGCCCCGCGCCATGGGGGCTGAGGGATGGCACCCCTGTGCCCTGCGCGTCCCCACGGCCCCCAACCCCATGCCTGAGCCTCCTGTCCCCATTCTCATAGGGAAGCAGGCTGGGGGACATCTGCTAGCCATCAACCTGGCACTGAGCGCTGTCAACCTGGCTGAGTGCGCCGGTGACGCCATCTCCGTGGCAGCGCTGGCCGAGATCTATGTGGCGGCTGCCCTGCGGATCAAGGCCAGCCTGCACCGCTGCTTCCACTTCCTGGCGGTGAGTGTGGTGTCCCCTGTGTCCCGTGGCACTGTGTGTCAGGTCCTTCCTGACCCCCTGCTCTCCCCGCAGCGCCCCTTCCTCTGCAGCGCTCGGCGCGTGGCCCTGTCCCACGGTGGGGCCGTGCCCCCCGCCATGCAGTGGCTCTGCCACCCCTTGGGCCATCGCTTCTTTGTTGACGGGGACTGGGCGGTCAAGGGTGTCCCCAGGGAAACCATCTACAGCTCCGCCGGCAACCCAGGTGACCACAAGCTCCTGAACCCTGCACCCCAGATTTGGGGGTGTGGTGTACCTGCTGACCCCATCTCTGTGCCCCAGTGGACCCGCTGGCACAGGTGACCCAGCTCTTCCGTGAGCACCTCCTGGAGAAGGCGCTGTGCTGCGTGGCCATGCCTGAGCCCGGCCGTCCCACTGCCCAGGGAGAGGGGTGAGTGCTGGGGTGGGCACTTCTCCCCCTGCCTGCCGTGGGGCCAGCCCCCTGACAGCCCCTTTGCACAGCCGGTTCTCCGACGCCCTCGAGTACCTCCAGCTGCTCAACGGCTGCTCGGATGTCAGTGGCACACCTGGCCCCACACCCTCCATCACCTCCGGCTTGGCGGCTGTCACAGGTGAGGCTGGCCTGTTCCCCACTGGGGTCACTTCATGTGGGGGGCCATGGGAGTGGAAACACCCTGCTCCTGTGTCCCTCCTACCCTGCAGGCACTGACCCCGTGTCCAAGTGGTGGGCGTCCTTCATTGGCATCGTTATCCACTGGCTGCAGGGAGATGAGGAGGGGGCTGAGCGCCTCTACCCGCTGGTGGAGACCATGCCCCGGGCACTGCAGAGCTCTGAGTGAGTGCTGGGGACACTGGGGACAAGGGTGGCACCTCATTGCCTGCCTCTCATGCACTTTGCACTGGCACAACCTCACTGAACACACTTGGAGCATCTGGTGTTTATTCAGGAGGGGTGCAGCCGTGCACAGCGAGGGGTCTGCAGTGACCATGTCCCCTCCACCTTGCAGGAAGCCCCTTCCCCGTGCTGCCCTGCACTCTTTCCGAGCTGTCCGTGCCTTGCTGAGCAAACAGGACGGGAGCCAGGCCACCCTGGGCCACTGTGAGAAGGCCAGCAGCTGCCTGCGGGAGAGCCTGGAGCTGGGCAGCCCCCCCAAGGGCACCATCGACAAGGTGAGCTGGGCTGGGGAGGGACGAGGTGGCTGCGAGCCCCCAGCCCTGGCGGGAGGTGCCCCCGACCCTCGCGGGGGTGCATTGTAGTTGCATTGCATGTGTCAGACTGGGAGTGCAATGCCCCTGCCGTGCAGCCCGGCGGGGGTCCCGCGCAGCAGCGCCTGCCCGCAGCGACCCCCTCGGCACCCCTGTCCTCTGTCCCACCCCCTGCTCACCCCCATCCCCTTGTCCCTGCAGGCGGTCCAGCTCCTGCTCTGCGACCTGCTGCTGGTCACCCGCACCAACCTGTGGCAGCAGCAGATGGGGGCGAGCCAGCAGCGCAGCTGCCTCTACCAGGCCTCCGCCCTGGAGCTCCGCGGCTTCCAGCAGGACCTCAGCAGCCTGCGGCGCCTGGCACAGACCCTGCGCCCCGCCATGCGCCGGGTGAGCCCCCCAGACTGTCACCTGCCGGGTCCCCTGGTGCCCTGCACCTGGCTGTGCTCACTGTCCCCCCCCTCCAATCCAGGTGTTCCTGCACGAAGCCACTGCGAGGCTGATGGCCCGGGCCAGTCCCACACGCACCCACCAGCTGCTGGACCGCAGCCTGCGCAGGAGAGGGGTGCAGGGCAGCAAAACAGGTGGGCACGGGGTGGGACACGGGGTGGGACACGGGGTGGGACACCTCACTCCTCACCTGCAGCACCTCAGCAGCTTTGGGTGTGGGATATGTGGTGGGATAGGGATGGGACACATCGCTGTGCACCCACAGTACCCCAGCACGTTGGGTGGTGGGACATGGGGTGGGATACCTTTGTCTTCACCTTGGAGGATGGGAAATGGGGTGGGGCACCCTGCCCAACACTACAGCAGCCCTCACAAGTGTTGGGTGGTGAGACACAGAGTGGGAAACCCCATTCTGCACCCACAGCACCCCACCAACCGTGGGTGATGGATACGGGGTGAGACATAGGGTGGGACACCCCTTTCCCACCTGCAGCACTCCAGCACCACAGACGGTGGGTCACTGGGTAGGGTTCCCACCTGCATCACCCCAAGAGCTGGGACAGTGAGTTCCCAGCCCCTCCACTGCTGGTGGCACCAGCTCCAGAGTGAGCAAATAACCCCATCCTTGTGCGGATCACTGAGATTTAGTCATGACTTCCACGGGTGCCCTCGGTGCTGACCTTGGCTCTGTCCCCTGCAGCTGGCGAGCCAGAAAGCCACCCCAGCCCGCGGGAACAGGCCGAGGCGCTGCTGCTGGCCTGCTGCTACCTCCCACCCAGCTTCCTGGCGGGCCCGGGCCAGCGCGTGGGCATGCTGGCCGAGGCCGCCCGCACGCTGGACAAGCTGGGCGACCGCCGGACGCTGCACGACTGCCAGCAGATGATCATCAAGCTGGGCAGCGGCACCACCGTCACGTCGGGATAGGTGGGGAAGGGGCCGCCAGCCCCCCTGCCACCCCCGTGGGTGCGGGATGCGGGGTGGCCGTGCCTCAGTTTCCCCACAGGGTGATGTTAGGCAGCGCTTTTGGGGGTGGAGGGGGTGGGTGGGGAGGGGTCGGGTGATGCCTGATGGGTGCGGGGTGGGGGTGCCAGCGTGGGGCAGACACGGGTGGGGTACCCGGGGTGGGGTACCCGGGGTGGGGTCCCCCCCCCACGGCCGTGTCCGTGTCCCCGGCCCGCGTGGGGCACGGCCGTGGGGCCCTCTAGTGGCGCTGTCGCAGTATTGCAGGGCACCGGCAGGCGCGGCAGCGACCCCCGGTGCCACCGGCCCCCCCCCGTGTCACCGGCCACTCTCCGGTGCCACCCGCCCCCACCAGTGCCACCGGCCCCTCCCCGGTGCCACCGGCC